TAAAGCATTTTTTAATACCAGTTCTGGAGAATCGGTAGTAAAAAATGCCTAAAAAGTAAAAAATAAAAGTGCCGACGATCAGCTGAGCAACACACAATCTTCAGAACTTTTAAAAAAACTTTGAAAAGCATTTTTAACTACCGGTTCTGGAGAACCAGTAGTAAAAAAGTGCTTACAAAGTAAAAAAAAAAGTTCTGACGATCGCGCATTGCTCAGCTGATCGTCGGAACTTTTGTTTTTACCTTTTTTATTACCGGTTCGGCAAACCAGTAGCCTTTTTTACTACTGGTTCAGGCGAATCGGACTGAACCGGTAGCATTTCACCCCTGGGACAAGCCACAGAATTGCCCTCAGATCAAACTTATCATCGGCCACTCATTTCTGATGATGATGGAGAGGTCTTTCATTCTACCATTTGCTTTTTGTCTTGGATGGTTGTGCAACAGTGTTTTATGAATCCCATTAGCACTAACACTTAAGATTTGTATGCCGCTTCACAGTCCTTTACAGCCCTCTTGAAGCGGTTTACAGAGTCAGCATATTTCCCCCAACAATCTGGGTCCTCATTTTACCAACCTCGGAAGAATGGAAGGCTGAGTCAACCTTGAGCCGGTGAGAATCGAACTGCTGGCAGCTGGCAGTCAGCAGAAGTAGCCTGCAGTACTGCACTCTAAGCACTGCGCCACCGTGGCTCATCAGCTGTCCCATCTGGCCTAACAATAGCTTAAGAGATAATAACTGCATTCCTTACTTTTCTGTCTCAACTTTTCACATTCAGCTTCACTCCAGCCAGCCAAGAAAAGGGACAATCTTTTCTTAAAAGCATGTCCTCTCTTTGCTATAAGTCCACAGAAAGGACGCCTTCCAGTGAAATTTGAACCTAACGACTCCGTGTATCATCCCATGCAGGTTGGGGAACAATGTAGAAAGGGTTTGCTCTTGACTTTTGCCAGGATGTACTTTCAACTTTTCGTTGTGCTTTCTCCTCCAAGGGCTACTTAAGGATGATCCTACTTAGCTTTGGGGTTAAATACTGGTCGACGTACGACCACAACTGAGCCCAAAATTTCTGTTGCTAAGCAAGACGCTTAAGTGAGCTTTGCAACCCATTTTACAACCGTTCTTGCCACAGTTGTTAAGTGAATCACAGCAGTTGTTGAGTGAGTAAGACGGCTGTTAAGTGAATCCAGCTTCCCCATTGACTTTGCTAGTCAGAAGGTTGCAAAAAGAGATCACATGACCCAGGGACACTGCAAGCAGAGGTGGTATTCAGCCGGTACGGGCAAATCGGTAGCGGCACCCAGCATAATGCCGTCCTATTTAGCCACGTTTTCAAGGCTGGGTGCATGCGTGGAAGGCGCGTGTGCAAACAAAGCACATGCGTGGAAGGCCGGGTAAATGTGTGGAAGGTGCGCGAGTGCGTAAAGCGAGCACGCGCACGGCAAACCGTTGGTAAGAATACATGAAACCCACTGCTGACGGCAGGGGTCATAAATACGAGTCAATTGCCAAGCGTCCAAATTTTGATCACATGACCATGGGGTTGCTGCAATAGTCGTGCACAAAAGGGTGGTAAGTCCCATTTTTCAGTGCCATTGTAACTTCAAATGGTCACTAAACAAATAGCCGTAAGTCGAAGACTACCTGTATATGCTGCCATCAACAGGACAATAATAAGCTCTTTGGTTTGCCTGACTGTATAGCCAGCCGTACAAACAGGCTGAAGAACAGTTTTTATCTGTGGGTTGTCAAGACTCCTGAATGAGAAATAACATCATAACTACATAGTATGATGGACTGCAGGGCCGGCGCAATGTGTAACATGTTCACACTGGTGCAATAGGACCGGGCGTTTTGTTAATATGATTTATTGGGTTAGGGATTTTCTGTCTTCACTGTGAGTTGTATTGTGTTGAGGGTGGGGTACAGTGAGGGAGCTCAACATTGCACATATGTTGTGCACTGACAATAAAGATTTGAATTGAATTGACTGAAATTTAATACATATGATTACAGGTAGTCCTCACGTTACGAATGTAATTGAGCCTGGCAATAATAAACATAGGCATGATGGTCTATGACCAGATCCAATTTTACTACCTTTTCCATGATGGTAGTTAGGTGAATACCACAATCATTAAGCAAGCACTGTCGTCATTAAGGGAACCCATCGTTCACTATGGCGTGGTTTTTGCTGGAAACCAGAAGTAAACACTGATTTCCGGCAAAAACATTGCAAAACGTGATCATGTGATCGTGGGGTGTTGCAAATAGCATTAATGTGAGCCAACCGCCTAGCACCCGAAATGTGGTCACTTGACCGGTCAGAACTTCAAAACTGGGCTGTAAGTAGCTTTTGGGAGATCTCTAACTTTAAACTTACCGGTCATAAGTCAAACCCTGTGTGTATTCTTATTCCAGGCCCTGATGTTGCAAAAGTCACAACATTCTATTGCAAGAGAAAAGGACATAAAAGAGGTACATGGGGAAGAAAGGTTGCTTCAAAATCAGAGGTGGTATTCAGCCGGTTCGGACCGGTTCACCTGAATCAGTAGTGGAAATCACACCCACCCATCTACTCCGGCTCGATTTAGGGATGTTTTTGAGGCCGTGCGCATGTGCGGAAGGCAGGCGTGCACACAAACTGGGCGAGGACGCACACGAAGAGAGCATGCTCAGTGAACTGGTAGCAACATAATGTGTAACCCACTGCTGTTCAAAATCTGTACAACAGGAATGGTAAACATTTGGTAGTTTTCTTGGTTTAAAAAAGGTAAAGGTTCCCCTCGCACATATGTGCTAGTCGTTCCCGACTTTAGAGGGCAGTGCTCATCTCCGTTAAAAAGCCGAAGAGCCAGCGCTGTCCGAAGACGTCTCGGTGGTCATGTGGCCGGCATGACTCAACGCCAAAGGCGCACGGAACGCTGTTACCTTCCCACCAAAGGTGGTCCCTATTTTTCTACTTGCGTTTTTTACGTGCTTTTGAACTGCTAGGTTGGCAGAAGCTGGGACAAGTAACGGGAGCTCACCCCATTATGAGGCACTAGGGATTCGAACCGCTGAACTGCCAATCTTTCAATCGACAAGCTCAGCGTCTTAGCCGCTGAGCGACCGCGTCCCTTAGTTTCTTGGTTTACCATACCTATTCTGATGAAGAACAACAAAGTTAGAAGCATTTTTGATTTCTCACGCTAAGAAAGTCTGTTTTTCTGAACCTCATCCAGATCTGGGCATCAAATTAGACTGGAGTCCCCTTAGATAGGTCCATACCTCTAAACTGAACCGAGTGCTTTCCGCAAAACCATGTTTAATATTTTTTTTGTCCACTAGAAGTCAGAGTAGTGCCACTGAACCAATACATTTTAGCAACAGAAGTCAAAGATTGGCTTATTGCCTGTTTATTGACTGAGGTCTGCATTTACAAGGGCTTTGGCTATAATAGCAGGAACTCAATGGGGCGATTTTCCTCCTGAAGTGGAACTGAAATCTGAACAGTGTTTATAGGTCTCTCTTTCTCTTTCTCCCTCCCTCCCTCCCTCCCTCCCTCCCTCTCTCTCTCTCTCTCTCTCTCTCTCTCTGCAGATTAATTTCAGAAACCTGTGCACCCTTAAAGTACTGTCATAGTCAAGGCAGAGAACCAATTAAGAACAGATTCCCCTACTCTGAAAATGAATATAGGGAGTTGTTGTTGTTGTTGTTAGTTGCGAACCCATCGCAACTCAATGGACAACATTCTTCCAGGCCTTCCTGTCCTCCACCATCCCCCGGAGTCCATTTAAGCTCACACCGACTGCTTCAGTGACTCCATCCAGCCACCTCATTCTCTGTCGTCCCCTTCTTCTTTTGCCCTCAATCATTCCCAGCATTAGGCTCTTCTCCAGGGAGTCCTTCCTTCTCATTAGGTGGCCAAAGTATTTGAGTTTCCTCTTCAGGATCTGGCCTTCTAAAGAGCAGTCAGGGTTGATCTCCTTTAGGACTGACCGGTTTGATCGCCTTGCAGACCAAGGGACTCGCAGGAGTCTTCTCCAGCAGCCCAGAGTTCAAAGGCCTCAATTCTTTGGCGCTCGGCCTACAGGGAGACTGGGCTGCAAATCCTCAAAGAGCAGATTTGAATCTCTCTCCTTTGAGAAAGAACTTGCTTACTTCTGACCACAGTGGTTTCCCATTGGAGCTGCCAATTTGAAGAAAATGGTGTTGATCCTGAAAACAGCAGCTCTTTCCTCTTTAATGAACAGAACTTAACTCCTCCTTCAAGTGTAGCTTATTTTATTCAGTCTCAGCTATCTTTCAGTGCAACCTTTCCCTCTCCCACCGAGGGGATTTTCACGACTCGTGTTGTAAAAAAGAAGACTCAGCTCTTCTTTTGATGGTTGACCTTGGAAGTGGAGATAGAGAACTTAGTGGTCAGCCACTAGAGAGGCAATGGGTTCTTCTAGATCAAGAAGTGGAATATGTTCTAACAACGTCAGTTGAAGGCATAGATTTCAGATGTTCAACCAAGAAGCAACTACACTGAAAGGAGAAGAGACCGTGGAGAGTACTTCTCTAGAAAATACCGAGACTTTGGAATTGCGAGAAGAACAAAAAAACAAACAAACATGTTCTGCTTTGCTGGAATTAGTTTTGTTCAGTTGTTTGTTTGATTTAGGTCCTCCTGGTCTAGATGTCTACGCCTGAGGAATATCTCACGAGCGAATTTCTTTGCCTCCAAAACAATAGAAGCTGTGCTGAGAGATAGAGGATTGCCCAAGAGGTTTCCAAGATATTCCTTGTCACCGTTTCAAGACGTTGCATAGATGATGTCCCTCACCCATATCTTTTCCTGTTGTTTTTGCATCTCGTGCAGGATGCCCTTTGATTTCAAACTAAGTCAGAGTGACTTCATCTTGGGTGATGTTTAATTTCTGTTTGAGCTTGTTTGGGTAACTCCACCCTTTAACCTTTGGCTGCCTAATGAGGAAGTGAAAGCTCTTCTTACTCTTTCATTTGAATTCCTCACGTTTGCTGTTGGACTCGCAGCTCAAACGGGGGGAGATTCCATTGTATCAACCATTTAGTAATTTTATAGGCAGACCTACAAACCTGTAGGAAGATCAGGAAGACTCTCCTTCTTCAGGACCGTTGGAACACTAAAAATTCAAAGGTATTGCTTCAAATTATTCATAATAATGAGCTACGTTGAAATGTTGGGTTTGTTTAAACCTGGATGGTAGATATCCTCTTGGGAGTTTTGTTACATCGATGTTACCAAGCGAAGCAACTTCTAGCTCTGCTGAGTAATGGGGGAAAAAATCTTGACGGTGTTTCAGAGTGTTCCTGCAGTACATATTCAGAGTGTTCCTGCAGTACATATTGGCAATATGTACTGCAGGAAACGTTCATTTGCTGAATGTTCTTGTCTTGACTTTTCCTTGGGCAAAGGAGGTGGCAAATGGGTTAAAATGGGGCTGAAAGGTTTAACAGATTTAGCAGATTAACGGAAGGGATCTTGTAGGTCATCTAGTCCAACCTCCTTCTTGGGGGGTTGGACTGATGTTCCTGGCAGTGGAAAGGGATGAAAGTACCGTGGAAAGGGATGAAGTACCGTATCTACCCATTGCCGTTTTCTCTGGGAAGCCCAAAGAAAGAGATGACATCAAGGTCCCTCGTAAAGTTCTGGCACTCTTACAAACTTCTTCATCGTCCCTTTGACTTCTCAAAATGTTTCTGAAGAAACTTTTTGCCTTCAATGGAGGCTGCGTTTCTGAGTTGATTCTCCATCGAGTTATCATTTTGGTTGCATATGCTTTCCCGGGGCAATTTTTGCTCACGCTTTGGATCCTTGTAATGTTTTTGGTGGGACACGGTGGCTCAGTGGCTAAGACGCTGAGCTTGTCGATTGAAAGGTCGGCAGTTCAGCGGTTCGAATCCCTAGTGCCGCGTAACGGGGTGAGCTCCTGTTATTTGTCCCAGCTTCTGCCAACCTAGCAGTTCAAAAGCACGTAAAAAAAAAAAATGCAAGTAGAAAAATAGGGACCACCTTTGGTGGGAAGGTAACAGCGTTCCGTGCGCCTTTGGCATTGAGTCATGCCGGTCACATGACCACGGAGATGTCTTCGGATAGCGCTGGCTCTTCGGCTTTGAAACGGAGATGAGCACCGCCCCCTAGAGTCGGGAATGACTAGCACATATGTGCAAGGGAACCTTTACCTTTAATGTTTTTGGTGGATTTTTTTACCTGGAATCTTTCCAGAGAATTTGGATTATTGGGCTGGTGGAAAATATCTCTAAGAAGGAGGTGAGCATCCTTTCAGGAAAACCCTACCTGTAGACATCTGGGAGAAGACGATAAGATGCTGCATGATGTCCCTACTTTTTGCCTTCTTAATTTACATGCCCCCCTCCCAATTTAATGGGCTGTTCAAATTTCTTTGGGGATATTTTTAATGATCTGCTCGTCTGCAGCTGTCCCCAGAAACAGTGTACTCACTGTATCACTATACGAGTCAATGAACTATTTTTATTTTCATGAAAAATACACTTCTCCTAGCAGCTGTTTTTTTTCCCCCTAGGAAGAATTTCTTTGTCGTATCACCCTTAGCGCTCCCATTGGTGGGAAAAGCCTTTATAATGAACCAGTCTGAATGCAGGCAAGGAAGAAGAAATATACTGTAGTTCAGAATTCTATCTGAATCGCTAATCTTTTTTTTTTTTAATTGATTCAATTGTGTCTGATTCTTAAAGGCTGCCTTCGACAAATCCCTGCAGTTTTCTTGGCAAGGTTTTTCAGAAGTGGTATGTCATTGTTTCCTTCTTAGGGTTGAGAGAAAGTGGCTGGCCCAAGATCACCCAGCTGGCTTTGTGCCTAAGGTGGGATCGGAACTCATAGCTTCCTGGTCCCTAGCCTGGTGCCTTCACCAGTGTACCAAACACAGATTCCATTTATCTATCCATTTATTTATCCAGAACAACTAGACACAAGGACAGTTTTTCCCCCATGCCAGCACTCTGCTAAACAACTAATTCCCACAATACTGTCAAACTATTTACTAAGACTGTATTACTATTCTTCTTCTCATCCTTCCTATTACCTATCTCCTTTTCTACCTATGACACTAACCTTGCTGCTTGTATCTTTACGATTTATATTGTTTTATTTAGTTTCCTAGTAGAATTTCTGTTGGTTGCTTATTTACTTTCCTATGACTATCTCTAAGTGTTGTATCTTGTGATTCATGAGGGGGGCCGCCTGTCAACCCTGAAGCTGACCTGACCGAGGCCATTTTGATACTGCCACACTGGAATTGGGGGATAGGGAAGGGGGGATAGAGATATTTGGGATTTGTAGCCAAAACAAGATACTTTCTCCTGGGAATCAGGAGACAATTTGGGAAACTATACAATTTCTAGTTTAATGAAGAGAGGGGCTGGGGTGACATGATAGCAGTCTTCCAATATTTGAGGGGCTGCCACAAAGAGGGGGGGGCATCTATTCTTCAAAGCACTTGAAGGCAGGACAAGGAGCAATGGATGGAAACTAATCAAGGAGAGAAGCAACTTAGAATTAAGGCCCTTGCTTCCTAACAGTGAGAACAGTCTATCAGTGGAACGACTTGCCTCCAGAAGTTGTGGATGCTTCATCACTAGAGGTTTTCAAGAAGAGATTGGACAACCATTTGCCTGAAATGATGTAGGGTCCCCTGCCTCGGCAGGGGGTTGGATTAGAAGACCTCCTAGGTCCCTTCCAACTCTGTTATTCTATTCTATTTTATCTATGTACACTTATATCTTCTATGTACACTAAGAGCTTATGCACGGGGTAAAATGCACTTACCTTCTCTACCGGTTCTGTAATGTGAGCATGCGTGCATCTTCTGTGCATGCGCAGAGGGTCAAAAATGGGACGTGATAACATCCTGGTGGGTGGGCGGAGCCTCCCGCCTCCGGCTCTACCGGTTCGCACGAGCCAGATAGATCCAGCTGGATTTCACCGCTGCTTATGCACCGAAGACAAATTCCTTGTCTGTCCAATCACACTTGGCCAATAAAGAATTCTAATAATTCTAAATTTATGCTTGCGTGGAAAGGGTAAGTCACACAAAATACCTCCTTGATGGTTATTGAAATGATATAAGCTTATTTGTTGAAAAGAGCTTCTTAGAGCCAACGGGGCCCTGCCAGAAAAGTAGTGGGCAATTCTATGCTGAAGAAATGTTTTGATTTCTCAGAAACGAGAAGTGAAGCCGGGCAATCACATCCCTTTTGTAAACTGGCACAAACTTGTTTTTGTACTTTGAACTGTCTCTAGAAGAGAAATCACACCAGAGTTTACGAAGGTTACGAAGGCTGATACGCCTCAAATAAATCAGCTGCTCTAGAAATAGTTTGCTAGCAGTTTCCTTTTAGCTTCTGTAAAATGAAGGAAGCAAGGAGATAGAAAATGGGCACCTTTGGACTTGTATGAAACCTGGAATTTCCTAAGTTTTTCAGCTGTGCCACATGTTTGATCCATGCAATGAGCATCTTAAACAAAGCAGATTTTTTAAAAAAACTTGGTGCCTAGCTCATCATTTGGAATGTATGGGGATATTAGACCTGGCTACATCAGTGAATTAATTTGCCAGATGGAGTTATTTTGTTAATGCTGTCAGGATCTGGAGAATCATAAGATTGGGCCAGATGAGCCCAAAGAAGATGGGTTATTTGGAAAAGCAGACCCTTATTCAGTGATGGGATTCAAATAATTTAACAACTGGTTCTCTGCCCTAATGACTAGCTGGGTAGGTGTGGCTTGGTGGTCATGTGACTGTGTGGGTGTGGTCAATTCAACGTCACTCACATCAATGGGCACTTCGCCTTAGCTGTTACAATGTAATAAGGGTTAACCGGAGAGGCAGTTTCTGTAAGCAGGGTGATAAATATTAGGCAGGAAGCAACACCAGAATGTTTCCTTCCTGCCTTCTTTACAGGATTAGCCCTGTAAAGTGGAAAAAAACAAAATAAGATTTCTTCCAACAACCGGTTCTCCCGAATAGGTGCGAACTGGCTGAATCCCACCACTGCCCTTATTCCTGTGTAAAAGCACACACAAAAGGGTTAACTTTTTGGTTTTATTCAACGGCCATGAATTGACTGGGCAAAGAAAGTGTTGAAATCCGTAGCATTTAGTCATCCCTGCTAGTGAGGAAACCCTGTGCTAAATTTTAGAGAAGTTGCACATTTGATTTCTGGCGGCTCTTATTGTTGCTGTTTTCAAAGAGACAAAAATGAGAGTTCCCCATCCTGAATCTAATAGAATCGGGTGACTAAAGAAGAAAATATAAACAGTCATTGAATTTCTTCTTGAAATAAATGTGTGGCTCCCAACAGTGAGAAGCAGGGGTGGAATTCAGCTGGTTTGGGCGAACCAGTAGCTCTGACGATCAGCTGAGAGTGAACCAGTTCTCTCCGATGATCAGCTGGTCCCACCTCCCCGCCCCTGTGCTATACCGACGTATATTTCCTTTGTTTGAAGCCCAGCTGATAGGCACGGCAGATCGGATTGCTGCGCCTCAGCTGTTTTACTCACTGCGACTGCAGTAGAAGGTTAGTTTTAAAGCTGTTTTCAAATGCACTGCACGTGCACGGAGCATGTGATTGGCACACATGCAAGCGTAGCATGCTCAGCACATACTCAGCAAACCGGTTTTTACACTGGTTGAATCCCACCACTGGTGAGAGGTTGGATGCTTTGGCTAGTCCTGGAGGCTGGGGAAGGCCCAGATGAGGGCTCTGCGTTGGAGGCAGAGATGGGGCCAGGGCCATCGGGGAGTGATGTGCGGACTTCGGAGCCTCCAGAGGCTGACAGTAGAGAGGCAGAGGAACAGGAGGAGCCTGTTCCTAGTGCACGTATGAGAAGAGCTGCCAGAAGGCAGGAGCAGCTAAAGCAGAGAGGATGACTCGGGAGTAGGGCCAGGAGATGATTGGCCCCTCCCATATGGCTTAAAAGACCAGCAATGGCTCTTGGCCTCTTTGCCGGAAAACAACATTGATAAACTTGGTCAGAAGCGTCCTCTGCTTCTGAACTTTTGCCAAAAGAAGCCTTTGGCAGTTTGCCTAATTATATCCAGGTTGGTGATAAACTGAGGAATGGTGTTTTGAAGAATTTGCTTTAATTGAGTTTGGACGACGCGGAGAATGAGTTAATTCTCAGCTGTTCTAATAAAGTCTGTTTGTTTTCGAACTGTTTGCATTTAATACTAACTACTTGGGCCTGGGTCACAACACCAAGTTGGAGAAACACTAAAATAGAGCATGCAGGAAATGCCTAATAAGAAAGATTCTCGTACATCTGGCTAACAATCAGAAGAAGACAAATAGCACCTTTTTTAAAAAAACTAACACACTTTATTAAAAGTAGAAGCTTTTGTGAGCGTTGATAAAATGTGTTAGTCAGAAAAAGGACTACTCGACTCCTCCTGATTCTTGGCCACCATATCTGAGATGATTCTCCTTCTACAGAGAATGTGTCTGGCTCTGCGGAATCCATGGGAAGAGGTAAAAAAATATCAAGATTGTGGTGGTTTTAATTGGGTGATTAAAGCCTTCTCTCTATTTTTTTTTTTTTAAATCTCCTACCATTTGGAGATGCCATCTCAGCTGTTTTTGGCTACTCCTGGACTTGGTTGTTGGGTGTAAAACAGTTTCATCCAGTGACCATCTTGACATCTCAAAATGTTCATTACATTCCTCACAGTGGTGGAATTCAAATTTTTTTACTACTGGTTCTGTGGGCGTGGCTTGGTGGGTGTGGGGTAGCTTGGTGGGCGTGGCAAGGGAAGGATACTGCAAAATCCCCATTCCCTCCCCACTCCAGGGGAAGGATGCTGCAAAATCCCCATTCCCTCCCCACTCTGGTGCCAGCCAGAGGTGGTGTTTGCCAGTTCTCCGAACTACTCAAAATTTCCGCTACCAGTTCTCCAGAACCTGTCAGAACCTGTCGAATTTCACCCCTGATTCCTCAGCTGAGAATTAAAATGGCAGAAAAGAAGGGAAAGTGTTAAAAACTTAGAAGTGACGTGGATTTTTCTTCTTTTCCTATAGAGTGGAAGGACCTGATAGAACCTGCAGGATGAACAACGAATACCAGAACGGCTTGGCCAACATGGAAGAAATCTCTTTGGAGGATACAGACAGAACCAGCGTAGAATTCAGAGTCCTGATGGTCTACGCACAGCGTCGACTGTCTGCAAGCAAATATGGGCAATTATTAGAAAGAGAACCCAGAGTCCAGGAAGAGGTTGTGCAAGCTGACACTCTAGCCAAGGGAGAAGAAGTGACCCTCCCAGAAATTTGTCCAGAAGATCATAAACCACCAAAGCAGAAGGACCAGAAGAAGGCAAAGAAGAAGAAAAAAGCAAAGACCAAGACAAGAACCAACTGGAAATGCTTTTGTATTCCTTCTTGCCTAAGGCCACAAGCAACACATGCCAGGAACCAAGCATCCCTTAAGCAGGACTCCGTCAATGGCCATGCCATGAAGCTGATCGCCGGAGCTGACGGTTTACCAGGTGGGCATGTCATGGGTTTCCTATAACTTGGGTTGTATACAGTAAGGGGAATTAATTGTGATAGCATAGCAGCCTTTCTTCAAGGTGACCTTCCCACAACTTATTTCTAACAACAGTTGACCACAAGTCCTGGTGAAAGAAGTCAAGATGGCAACTGGATGTGTGCCTGAAGTTTTCTCTGTCTTTTTATGTACAGTGGTACCTCGGTACTCAACTGCTTTGAAACTCATTGAATTTGGTACTCAAACGCATTTTGATGTGAAAATTTTGTCCTGGTCCTCATTGTGCGTGGTACTCAAGCTAGAATATGTCAGTGCCGGCTGCCTTGTGACTCGCTACATTATTCCTTATGGGGAAAATTTGTTTGGCACTCATGGTTTTTGGTACTCAACAAGGCCATCCAATTGGGCATGACTCGGTTAACCGCTTATGAAAGGTACCTTTGGTCCCAATTGTGGGCATAAGCCAAGGATTACCTGTAATGTTCATGGGCTGTTCTCCTTTCCCTCTGGTCATGGAGCCAAACTGGATTCCAAAATGGCTGCCATTCATTTTTCAGCCTTAACAACTAAATGCATCTTCGGATGATGCAGCAGATTGTATGTTCCTGAATAATGCATTAGCTGGAGGGAAATGGTTGCATGGAATTCTTCCACTCTTATTTTGTTTTCCTTTCCTAGATGACTCGGACATTTCTCGTTTGGCAGAGAGACTTGTTGAGATAGTGGATCATTCCAGATTTCCCGGTGGGAAGAAAAGCATCCCAGTAATGGAACGTGCATTGAGTCTAGAAGAAGATGGTGGCTCGACCAGCAAGCCAATCCCACCTCCCGCGATTGATGGACTAGGTAAAGTGTTTTTTCTTCATGGGACATTTCTTGCTACTGATTTTCTGTTCATGGACATTCGCAGTCCCTTGCCCTCATGGGCTTTGCAGAAGGTTTCCATTTTAATGTAAGTTCTAGATGAGACCCGAACTTGCTTTCTGAATGCCTCGTAGCAGTTCCACTGAGGGATTTCTAGATCCTTGTTTCCAAACTCAGCAGCTCTGTTACGGAGAGGTCATCTTGCTTAGCTAGTCAAAGCAGCTCAAATAAAGGACTTGGAAAGGAGGGGTTGGCAAGACTGTACGCCCATTGTCATTGGGGGGAGCTAAGCGGGGCGGAGCTGAACACACATACACCCAACTCCTCTAGTACAAAGGAGAAATCTGTATTTAAGAGGAAGAAGAGAAGAAGGCAGTGGCTGAGGTTTTGTTAGAAATTTTGTTTATATATAGCACCACAGAGCAAACAAAGAGTACAGTCACCATGTGCTTTACTGCTCATCTATTTAATCATTATAGGAAACAGGAAACTCTACTTAGAACAAAAGAGCATAGAGTATATACCATAGATCCAAACTTGTAAACACTGCCGTCTACTGGTTGAATACTACTATAGTTGTTGCATAAAAATACATCCCAACAATGAATTCCAACAGGTTTTCACTTGAAAATCACTTGAAGAGGTGTGGACTTCAACAATGCTGGCTGGGGAATTCTGGGAGTTGAAATCCACACCTCTTCAAGTGGCCAAAGTTGACGAGAATTGGTATATGGTGACAAGATTAGAGGTACCATAGCCTGGAACTGCTTAGTTCATCAGATGTTACAAGAGGCAGAACTGTCCCCCAAAACAGGAACCTTAACTGGTTCAATGCCTCATACTGGCCAAGGAGAGCTGCTGTGAACATCACAGCCTCTTCCAGCCATTTTGCCTTTCTGCTGCAGTCAGTGGAGTTGGTTCCCTGGGCAGCCAACCCAAGCTATCCCTCCTGTTGGCCCTGCAGGTGTGAGGCATGATGGTGAACCTATGGCACGCGTGTCACAGGTAGCACATGGAGCCATATCTGTGGGCACGCAAGTGTTGCCGTAGCTCTCAGTTCCAGCGCACATGCATGCACCGGCCAGCTGATTTTCAGGCCCACCGGAAGTTGGGAAATGGGCTGTTTCCGGCCTCCGGAGGGCCTCCAGGGAAGTGGGGAAGGCTGTTTTCGCCCTCCCCAGGCTCCTAGAAAGGCTCTGGAGCCTAGGAAGGGCAAAAAAATGGGCCTTCCGGTCACACCGGAAGTTGGGAAATGGGCCGTTTCCGGCCTCTAGAGGGCCTCTGAAGGGGGAGGCCATTTTCGCCCTCCCCAGGCTCCTATAAAGGTTCTGAAGCCTGGGAAGGGTGAAAAATGGGCCTACCGGGCCCACCATGCCATCATGTGCCAAAAGCAGGGGGAGCGCAGGGGGCGTGTGCCAATGTATGGGGGCGGGGCACATTGAATTATGGGTGTGGGCATGTGTGTGACCCCCCTGCACTCCCCCCGCTTTTGGCACGTGATGGCAAAAAGGTTAGCTATCACTGCCTGAGCCAGCCTGGAGAAGCAAGTGTGGCTCATGAAATGATCCCGACAGATTCCTCTTTCTCCGGAGGAGAGATCTGACCTCATTTCAGATTTTTCATTTGGTAGCAGAAGGAGACCAAACTGGACAACTTCACTCTCTGTTTGCTTTGATTTATCTTCAATCGTTTCGATCTTTTCTTCAGTTTTAGCTAACATCTGCTGAAAATTTCCCATTTTTTTCATCCATGCTTTCCATTTTCTCCTTCATCTCTCCCATCTCCATCTCTCCCATATCGTTCCTCACTTCATTATGGTTCTTGGCGATATCCTCTCGTAGTGACTGAAACAATGCATGTCTTTCTGAAGTGAATTTATCTCCTCCTGCTGAATCAAACTTTCTATAGACCTTTGGCTTATAGGGCTTGACGTTGCTGATGATGGTGCAGATGATGGTGCCTATGGGATTCCCCCCCCCAATTTGGTTAAATTTGAGTTTGACATTTTAAACTACCGTATTTTTCGGAGTATAAGACGCACCTTTTCCCCCCAAAAAAGAGGGTGAAAATCTGGGTGTGTCTTATACTCTGAATATAGCCCCGTCCAGCTTCTCAAACAGAGGTTTCAGAGGCTGAAAAAACCATCAGAAATGAAGCTTCAGAAAAGAAGCCCCCAAACAGAGCTTCAGGAAAAAAAGCCTCCAAACAGAGTTTCAGAAAAGAAGCCCCCAAACAGAGCTTCAGAGGCTTTTTTTTCTGAAGCTCTGTTTCGGAGGCTTTCAGAGGCAGAAAAGGAAGTTTTTTCTGAAACAGAGTTTCAGAAGTTTCAAAGGCAGAAAACAAAGCAAAAAAAAGCAAGGCACAGAGCTCACAACCACAAACCTGTTGCTAAAATTCACCTCTGGGAACAACTGATTGGGGGTATTCCGGGAGGCCGATCCACCTGCCAATCAGCTTTTTTCTTATTTTCCTCCCCAAAAACTAAGGTGTGTTTTATACTCCGGTGCGTCTTATACTCCGAAAAATACAGTATATCAGTAAGGATTTTGAAAGCAATAGGAAGCTAAGGCATTTGAGTGCCTTATTTACTGTTTATCCAGTAATCATTTTTTCATGGAAAAAATCTCTATGTGGTCAAAGAAGGAGTTTGAAAACAACTTGATGGCATCTAAGCAATCAATCATTTCTAGTAGCATCTTACAAAACCATGAGTCCAAGAGCTTTGTTATTTTACTTGCTGTCTTAAGAAAAGAAAATCAGCCAGTTATTTTTATCTTTTTACCAGACAATGAAGAAAAGGTTATTGATGCAATAGTTGCTTTGTTACGGAAGTCCGGAGATGAGCTGGCGGAAAAGGTAACCTAAGGTGGCATGGACTCTGAAGCTCTGTTTGCAAATTAACTGAAGAAACATTCACGTCACTCCCTTATTTTTCTTCATTTACAATTTAGCGCATGGATTTTAGTGCTGTCTTCTGAAAAACTCTCCGGGAAGAAGATCTTCCCTTGAATTCAGAGAAAGCATGGAGCAACTTGAAGCTTCATTAGATTTCCCCACCTTGGAATGGTGCGGTGGCCTAGAGGTGGAGCTCTCGCCTCACAATCTGGAGGCTGTGAGTTCAATCCTAGGTAGAGGCAGATATTTCTCTCTTTGGGCACACTGAGAATAGATCTGCTGAACAAAACTCTGCATTGGCAACAGGAAGGGCATCTGGCCACTAAAACCCTCTTCCAGCTCCATTCAGTTACCCAGAATCCACCTACCCCACCAGTGGTGGGATTTAAAATTTTTTACTACCGGTTCTGTGGGTGTGGCTTGGTGGGCATGGCAGGGGAAGGATACTGTAAAATCTCCATTCCCACCCCACTCCAGGGGAAGGATACTGTAAAATCTCCATTCCCACCCCACTCCAGGGGAAGGTTACTGCAAAATCCCCATTTCCTCCCGATCAGCTGGGACTCGGGAGGCAGAGAATAGATGGGGGGAGGGGCCAGTTAGAGGTGGTATTTACCGGTTCTCCGAAGTACTCAAAATTTCCGCTAATGGTTCTCCAGAACTGGTCAGAACCTGCTGAAACCCACCTCTGCACCCCGGACAGGACTTTGGGGTTGTTAAAAGAAGATGATTAGATTCCCCACCTTGGTTTATCAAAGAGAAAAATCTCCCAAGAATGCAGAATTTGGTCATCCCTGAAATAAGTCACTATTTATTAGTTCCCCTGTTTATGTTGAGCACAATTTCCCCCACCCCCCAAAGATCAATTGTGTGATTTTCAATGATCAGAGCACCTGGAAGTATTCTCACAGACGTACATTAGAAAGGCGATTTCAAAAAAATCACAGATTCTGTAATCCTAAATACCCTTACCTGGGAGTAAATTCATTAAAGTCCTTGGAAAAGCCATGGACTTTTACTGGAATAAACTGTCAAAAAAGCCCACCATTATTATAAGGGGGGCATCAAGGTTGACTCAGCTTTCCATCCTTTCAAAGGTAGGTGAAATGAGGACCCAGTTTGTGGGGGCAATAAGCTGACTTTGTATAAATATACAAAAGTATGAAGGCTATTGCTTAACGCATTGTAAGCCGCCCTGAGTCTCCGGAGAAGAGCGGCATGTAAATTAAAGCAAAAAATAAAATAAAATATGGAGAGTCCATTTTGAGCTCCCACAGAAATACTATAGGACCGTGATGGCGAACCTATGGCACGTGTGCCACAGGTGGCACGTGGAGCCATATCTGTGGGCATATGAGTGTTGCCCTAGATCAATTCCAGCATGCATGCACATGCCGCCAAGCTGATTTTCAGGCCTTCTGGGCCCACCAGAAGCTGGGAAACAGCCTCCCTGGGGGTGGGGAAGGCTGTTTTCACCCTCCGCAGGCTCCTAGAAAGCATCTGGAGCCTGGGGAGGGCGAAAAACGGGCCTACTGGGCCCATCGTGCCATCGTGTGCCAAAAGCGTGGGGAGCACAGGGGGTGGGGCGCAATTAACTATGGGTGTGGGCACGCACGCGTGTGACACACACACACACCCGCGCTCCCCTGGCTTTTGGCACGCGACGGCAAAAAGGTGAGCCATCACTGCTATAGGATATAAATTTGACTCTATCATAGAATCACAGATGATAAGGTTCAAATTGTTCTCAGGCCTAAAGTCATCTAGACCAAGGGCTCAAAAACATTATCAAGAAGCACCATTTGAGTGCTTGGGCATCTTCTTTTTGTTTTTGGTCCTTAATTTCTCATACAAGCTCATCAAAATACAGAATAGAATACAGAATAACAGACTTCGGAAGGGGCATTGGAGTCAATCTCTTGCTCGGGAAGGAGATCCTATACCATTCTGGAGAAATGGCTGCCAATCTCTTCTTAAAAACTCCCGTTGATGGATCACCCACAACTTCTAGATGCAAGCCATTCCACCAGGGGTGGGCTTCAAAATTTTTTAGCAAGGGGTTCTCTGCCTGGTTGCTATGTGGGCATGGCCATGGTGGGCGTTTTTGCCCTCCCCGGGCTTCAGAGGCTTTACTCGAGCCTCCGGGAGGGTGAAAAAGGCCTCCCCAGGCTTGGGAGGCCCTCTGGAGGCCAAAAATTTCTGGCCTTCCCGTACTTCTGGTAGGCCCGTTTTTTGCCCTCCCTGAGCCTCCGAGTGCACCCTGCTCTTACCTGCATCCAAAATGGGCTGCATGGGAACTCCTGGGAGGGGAGAGGTGGGCGGGGCCAGTCAGGAGTGGGATTTGGGGGTTCTCTGAACTGCACAGAATCATATATATATATAATAAAATATAAAATAAAGTAATACAATAAAATAGCTTCTCTTTCCTCTTCCAGATGAAGAAGGATAAGACCTTCTGTCAGAGTATCTGGGATATGATGACCTCCTATGCCTTCTTCAGGAGAGTGACGGACCAGTTCCTTGAGGAGATGCCCATAGACTCCACAGTGAATTCAGAGGATGAAGTTAAGAGCATGAAAGTTGCATTGATTATGGAAGCCACGACCAGACTCACTGCAGTGGACAATCATCCCATGAATCTTGTGCTGGGCTTTGGAACAAAATACCTGCAGGAAAACTTCAGCCCTTGGATTCAAAGCCAAGGGGGATGGGTAAGAGATTGTCTAAATCTGTTTTTCTCAGCCATGGCAGCTTTAAGATGGATGGACTTCAACTCCCAGAACTCCCCAGCCAACACGCTGTCTGGGGAATTCTTGGAGTTGAAGTTCACCCATCTTAAAGTTGCCAGGGTCAAAAAAACCAATGGTTTAATCAACTTGAGTCACATGTTCTTAGATGCTACCAGAGGTGAAATGCTATTAGTTCGGACCAGTTCGGGCAAACAGGTAGTAAAAGAATGCTACCAGTTCGGGCGAACTGGTATTTCCGACAATCAGCTGGGCGACGATCAGCTGTTATGTGCTATTTATATTAGCTAGAATCGTCGGATTTCCTGCTTTCTAGCTAATCTAAATTGCGTGGCATAGTGGATTCCCTCCCCTCGCTGTTCTACTTATCTTTGCAGACTCGGAAGGCTTTAAAATGTTCCTTTTTTAGCGCTGCACAGGTGCGCAAAGCTCGGTAACAGACTCACAGAACCGGTAACAGACTTCAGAGGATTTCACCGCTGGATGCTACTATCTGTTGTCCACTTTGGGAGAGATAATTATACTTGGGGTTCTCTGCAGTCTGTAAAAAGGGCATCACCTTTAAAGGAAACCAATGCTTTCATCAACATTATTCCTGTAACTGCATATGTTTTCATAAGCTCTTTCAAGAAGAATGTAGTCATTGAACTGAAAAGTTAAATCTTCTCAGATAATTCCATAAATGATAGCTCTGCGACATGAAGCAACGGAGGAGATTTTAAGAGCATTTAGTTATGATGAGTAGGACAACGTCTAGGAATCCCAAAGCAGCTCTTCATCACTGTAGCTTAGAAGAAGAGGTCCATGCTGCTCAGAATGACTATCCTTCTGGTAGTCCTCAGTTCCTACTTTCCTCCTATTCCTCAAAACCCAGGGGTGGGATTCATCCGGTTCAGGCTGGTTCGGGCGAACCAGATGTTAATTTTAATTTGGTTCACTGAACTGGTTGTTGCAAGGACTGGCTGACCACACCCACCCCACCTTGCCCCTCCCAGGAGTCTCCACGCAGCCTGTTTTGGATGCCAGGTAAGTGCAGGGGCCACAGGGAGGCTCTGGAGGGTGAAAACGGATCTACCGGAAGTTCCGTTTCCAGCCTCCGGAGCCCGGGGGAGGCTGTTTTTGCCCTCCCAGAGGCTCGCGGAAAGCCTTGGAGTCTGGGGAGGGCGAAAAAAGGGCCTACTGGAAGTACCGGAAGTCCTAAAACGGGCCAATTTTCGGCCTCCAGAGGGCCTCCAGAGCCAGAGGGAGGCCATTTTTGCCTTCCTGGAGGCTCGAGGAAAGCCTCCGGAGCCTGGAGAGGGCGAAAAATGCCTCCCCGTGCCATGGTGCAGGCAGCCAACTAGGCCACGCCCACCCAGCAACGGGGCAGAGAACCCGTTGCTAAAGGATCTGAAGCCCAGGGTTGTCTCCCTGTCTGTGGGACAACCATGAGCTGGATGACTGAGAATCTCAGGAGACACTTCTAAATCCCATCGACCCCCTTTCTCCTTTCTTTTTTTCTCCCCCCCAGCTGAAAGCCTTAGGATTACCAGACCAGGAAGAAGTTGAATGAGGAAAAGAGCTCATCTTCAAGAGCGTTGGTCAATATGGAGAAAAGTGATTGGGATGTGAGAGGAAAAACTTAAGTCACTCTCATGATTGCCTCCAATACAGGGAGATGATGGTTCATGGAATCTTTCAGAAGACCAGTAGATGTCACGGGACAAGAACAGGATCTGCAATTATGTTTTAGTTCCGTTCAACCTGACCAAGAGACGAAAGAGCCATGCGGCCTTATTACCGGAGGGACCCGAAGTCTCTTGGTGGAATGAAGCTTATTTATTTTGCAAATTTGGATTCTGGGCCTGTTAAGCACGTGACGCAAACCATCCTTGCTCCTTCAGTCTGGATGAGAGCTTTAGGGCAAGCAAGAAGGATGTCTGCCTTGAGCCAGGAATGTAAAGATGGACATTGGGCTGCCGCCATCTCCTTTTCCTGGGGGTGTCTGAAGGGTGGGGTTCCAAAAAAGACAAGATGGCTGCTACTTCTTGACTTTTTGTGAGCTCCCTCCCCTTTTTCCCTGGGGTCGTCGTCAGTGTTGCTCATAAACCACTGTAGCTCTTTGGTATCACCGTCTTGAGGATGTTTTCTTTTTTTAATTGAACAGATCTCTCGACCCCCCCCACCTTTCCTTGGGGAGGTTTGGTACAAGTGTAAATAGGACATGACACAATGGGTTTGGTCAAAGAAAAGGTGTACTAGGGATGATAGACCCGAATCTGGATCGGAAAGTGATTAAATCCTAAAACACAAAATTAGCTTAAGTCACAACAATTGATTTAGATGTACATAATTAAGAGAACAATAAAACAAGTGATTTCCCTCCTTCTCTGCATTTTCTTGTTTAGTTCCTCTGCGGAGTGAGCTCTGTTCTTCCTTCTTTCCTTCCTTCCTTGGCATCTTAAAATCTAGCGAACGAGTCTGGAATCACGGTGATCATCTCTTCAAAGTTTCTTAAGAGACGAAGGTGGCTTTCTTGGGTTTTGAATTAAGATCGTTGTCTTAGTCATTAGGCTTTGGAAGAGGCACATGTTAATTATTGTCACTGTGGCTTTTCTTAGCGCCTAGCCCCTGCCCTTGTCTAGTACCACCAACAAAAGCCAACAGAACAAGAGGTTCTGACCAGTGGAAGGTTCCTCCTGGTTCGGCCCGGTTCTCCCGAGCCGGTAGCGGTGACAATATGATGTCACCAAACCGGTTTCCCCCCCCGCATCCCTCCGCCCCCCCACGCCCCCCCACCCCCGCATTATTCTTACCTTTTATTTGGCCCCACCCCCAATCTATTGCTGCCTCCTGAGTCCCAGCTGATGGCTAGAGGGAAAAAAAACTGTTTAAACTCTTGCTGCGGGGCTTCAAAGGGCTGCCCTACAACTGATCAGTGTTAAAACAAATGAGTAGACCGATGCCTGCAAAAATAAATGGGTAGACCAGTGCCTGCAAAAATACATGATAGACCAGTGCCTGCAAAAATACAGTACATGAGTAGATCGGTGCCTGCAAGAATACATGGGTAGACCAGTGCCTGCAAAAAACAGTACATGAGTGATCGGTGCCTGCAAGAATACATGGGGTAGACCAGTGCCTGCAAAAATACAGTACATGAGTAGATCGGTGCCTCCAAAAACAAATGGGTAGACCGGTACAGCTCTGCAAGCAGTTAAAAGCCTGGTAGACCAGTACCTCTGCTAAATCCTAAATAATTGTCACATGACCATCAAGCCACACCCACAAAATAAGCCACACCCACAGAACCGGTAGTAAAAAAATTTAGAACCCACCCCTGGTTCTGACCCAGCCTTAGCAAGTAATGATAAGCCACTTACTTGTGAGTACCAACAAACCCCTTTTCAAATAGGGTAGGAACAGGGGTGGGTTCTAAATTTTTTTACTACCGGTTCTGTGGGCGTGGCTTATTTTGTGGGTGTGGCTTGGAGGTCATGTGATAGGTGGGCGTGGCTACCTGGTCAGAGTCATTTCTGGAAGGTCCTCGCACTTACGACCAGTCCTCGCACTTATTGACCAACTCATTTGTTTGCTTTTAACACTGATCAGCTGTAGGGGGGCTTGAAGCCCCGCGGCAACAGTTTAAACAGTTTTTTTCCCTCTAGTCATCAGCAGGGAATCAGGAGGCAGCAATAGATTGGGGGTGGGACAAATAAAAGGTAAGAATAACGTGGGAGGGCGGGGGGGGAGAGAACCAGTTCGGTGACGTCATATCATCACCGCCTACGGCTCGGCCGAACCGGACCAAACCGGGAGGAACCCATCACTGGTAGGAACAGTCTTTTATTCACGTGGATAAACACAAATCAAATGCAGGGGTGGGCTGCATATACGACCTCTGGCTGGCCCCAGAACAGTGGTGGATTGCCCGGTTCGGACCGGTTCGCAAGAACCAGTAGTAAAAAAACGGCGGGAGGCCCCGCCCACCACCCCGATGTTGTCATCGGTGATCTGCGCATGTGCAGAAGCTTCCGCGCATCCACAGAAGCAAGACACATGTGCAAGCATAGCGCGCATGCACAATTCCCGTTGCGAACTAGTAGTAAAGGTAAGTAGAACTCACCCCTGCCCCAGACTGGGGTGGGAATGGAGATTTTGCAGTATCCTTCCCCTGCCACGCCCACCAAGCCACGCCCCAGAACCGGTAGTAAAAAAAATTTGAATTCCACCACTGCCCCAATCCTCTCAAGACTCTGTGGTTGAGGGAGAACTAGAATCCAGGTTCCTTCAGTTCTAGTTCACCCACACTACATCATGCTGGCTTTCACAGTTACCTTCATTATTGTGTCATTTATATGAGAAACCAATCAGATTTTTAAGATTTTTTTAAAAAATACAAATGCAAGCATTCAAAATGACGAGTCAGTTGAAATTGGCCCAGCTTACACTGAGTTGGCTCTGAAGAAGGAGCCTTATAACTCAGAGATGCAAACACACAAAACCACACACTTAAGGAATCCCTTGTGGTAGCGCACAGCCGTAACGGGCATTTTATCACAAACCACCCAAATAAAATAAAATAAAAGGCCAGAAAATTGCAACGCCGTTGGAGAGATCGTATCCTTAGTCCCAGTTTAATTCGCCTGAGGACTGAGCTATTTTCACAGAATGGGTAGAAGTGATTGTTGTTGTTTTTTTAAGATCGTAAAATGGGGTTTTTAGATCAGGTGGTAAATCTGGCGGTTATGAAATTATGGAAATGCCCTGCAAAGGCTGATTCAGTGTGCAGTCAAAAGGGAAAAAAGAGTAATTCCTTGGTGTGGTATTAAGAAAGTAAGAGAAGCATAGTCGAAAGTATTACAATGCTTTTAGGTATCGCTCGCTCAGCTTTAATCATCATTTATTTTATTTTATTTTATTTTATTTTATTTTATTTTATTTTATTTTATTTTATTTTATTTTATTTTATTTTATTTATTATTTTATTTTATTTTATATTATTATTTTATTTTATTTTATTTTATTTTATTTTATTATTTTATTTTATTTTATTTTATTTTATTTTATTTTATTTTATTTTATTTTATTTTAATTATTATTATTTTATTTTATATTTATTTATTTTATTTTATTTTATTTTATTTTATTTATTTTATTTTATTTTATTTTATTTTATTTTATTTATTTATTTGTTTTAATTTGTATACCGCCCTGCTCCAGCAGGACTCAGGGCGGTGAACAGCCAGAATAAGACAGAACATACAAAATTTAAAAACAGTTTAAAAATAATTAAATATTTTTGGCCGCAATTTAAAACAACCAATTAAAATCAATTAAATTTAACATAACTGTGGGATCAAGCCAGCCCGGCTAGGTGAAATAAAATAAGCTTTCAGGGCCCGACGAAAAGTCCAGAGGTCTGGTATTGTACGTATCTCTGGGGGGAGGTCGTTCCAGAGGGCGGGTGCCGCCACAGAGAAGGGTCTCCCCCTGGGGGTCGCCAGCCAACACTGTCTGGCGGATGGCACCCTGAGGAGGCCCTCTCTGTGCGAGGTACTGGCCGGTGGGAGGCTATTGGGTGGCAGAAGGTGGTCTCGTAAATACCCGGCCCTAAGCCATGGAGCGCTTTAAAGGTGGTCACCAACACCTTGAAGCGCACCCGGAAGACCACTGGGAGCCAATGCAGTTCGCGCAGGAGAGGTATCACATGGGAGCGCCCCGTCGCTCTCATCATCATCATCATCATCCTAATAATAACAACAGCAATAACAGTAACAGAGTTGGAAGGGACTTTGGAGATCATCTAGTCCCGTGATGGCGAACCTATGGCATGCGTGCCACAGGTGGCACGCGGAGCCATATCAGTGGGCACGCAAGTGTTGCCCTAGCTCAGCTCCAGCACACATGCGCGCACCAGCCAGCTAATTTTTGGGCCTTCGGTCCCACTGGAAGTTGGTAAATGGACCGTTTCCAGCCTCCAGAGGTGTGGGGAAGGCCGTTTTCGCCCTCCCAGGCTCCTAGAAAGGTTCTGGAGCCTGGGGAGAGAGGAAAAATAGGCCTACCGGGCCCACTGTGCCATTGCGTGCCAAAAGCAGGGGGAGCACGTTTGGGTCACATGCGCATGTGTGTGTGTGGGGCGGGGGCATTGATTTATGGGTGTGGACACACGCGCACGTGACACCCCTCTCCATGCGCCCCACACTTTTGGCACGTGACAGCAAAAAGGTTAGACATCACTGATCTAGTCCAACCCCCTGCTCACGCAGGAGACCTGTACTAGGGATTCGAACCGCTGAACTGCCGACCTTTCTGATTGACAAGCTCAGTGTCTTAGCCAGTCAGCCTATCCTAGAGGAGATCATGCATTTTTTGGCAATAACCACATTAAAAAAAAAAAAAAGCTTCAGGGAAAATATTGCTAAAGAGCAAGTGTCAGTCAAAAGCCAGGTAATTTCATTAACACCTAATGTCATCCATCCCACTTAGTTCATGGGTCTCCAACCTTGGCAATTTTAAGACTTGTGGACTTCAACTCCCAGAATTCCTCAGCAGGCTGAGGAATTCTGGGAGTTGAAGTTCACGAGTCTAAAGTTGCCAAGGTTGGAGACCCCAACTTAGTTTAATTAGCAAAGACCAGACCCCCTGGTTCATTCCTTTTTTCAAGAGCGGGGTGAAATCCAGCAGGTTCTGACAGGTTCTGGAGAACCGGTAGCGGAAATTTTGAGTAGTTCGGAGAACTGGCAAATACCACCTGTGGCTGGCATCAGAGTGGGGTTGGAATGGAGATTTTGCAGTATCCTTCCCCTGCCACGCCCACCAAGCCACGCCCACAGAACCGGTAGTAAAAAAAAATTGAATTCCACCACTGCCCCAATCCTCTCAAGACTCTGTGGTTGAGGGAGAACTAGAATCCAGGTTCCTTCAGTTCTAGTTCACCCCCACTACATCATGCTGGCTTTCACAGTTACTTCATTATTGTGTCATTTATATGAGAAACCAATCAGATTTTTAAGATTTTTTTAAAAAATACAAATGCAAGCATTCAAAATGACAAGTCAGTTGAAATTGGCCAGCTTACACTGAGTTGGCTCCGAAGAAGGAGCCTCATAACTCAGAGATGCAAAGACACAAAAACCACACTCTTAAGGAATCCCTTGTGGTGGCATACAGCCGTAACGGGCATTTTATCACAAACCACCAAAATAAAATAAAATAAAAGGCCAGAAAAATTCCACACCGTTGGAGAGACCGTATCCTTAGTCCCGTTTAATTCGCTGAGGACTGAGCTATTTTCACAGAATGGGTAGAAGTGATTGTTGTTGTTTTTTTTAAGATCGTAAAATGTGGGTTTTAGATCAGGTGGTAAATCTGGCGGTTATGAA